TGATTAACATTTCTTTACTGGGACATGTTATCGAGTGATGGATAATGCTACTGTTTTTGTTAGTTCATGATTGACATTTCTTTACCTGGGACATGTTATCGAGTGATGGATAATGCTACCGTTTTTGTTGGTTCTTGATTAACATTTCTTTACTGGGACATGTTATCGAGTGATGGATAATGCTACTGTTTTTGTTAGTTCATGATTAACATTTCTTTACAGGGACATGTTATCGAGTGAGGGATAATGCTACCGTTTATGTTAGTTCTTGATTAACATTTCTTTATTGGGACATGTTTTCGAGTGATGGATAATGCTACCGTTTATGTTGGTTCTTGATTAACATTTCTTTACTGGGACATGTTATCGTGTGAGGGATAATGTTTATGTTGGTTCTTGATTAACATTTCTTTACTGGGACATGTTATCGTGTGAGGGATAATGCTACTATCTATGTTAGTTTTTATCTAGATTTCGGTATTGGGACATGTTATCGAGTGATGGATAATGCTACCGTTAATGTTGGTTCTTGATTAACATTTCTTTACCTGGGACATGTTATCGAGTGATGGATAATGCTAACGTTTTTGTTAATTCTTGATTAACATTTCTTTATTGGGACATGTTATCGAGTGATGGATAATGCAACCGTTTATCTTAGTTCTTGATTAACATTTCTTTACTGGGACATGTTATCGAGTGATGGATAATGCTACCGTTAATGTTAGTTCTTGATTAACATTTCTTTACTAGGACATGTTATCGATTGATAGATAATGCTACCGTTTGTCTTAGTTCTTGATTAACATTTCTTTACTGGGACATGTTATCGAGTGATGGATAATGCTACCGTTTATCTTAGTTCTTGATTAACATTTCTTTATTGGGACATGTTATCGAGTGATGGATAATGCTACCGTTTTTGTTAATTCTTGATTAACATTTCTTTACTAGGACATGTTATCGAGTGATAGATAATGCTACCGTTTGTCTTAGTTCTTGATTAACATTTCTTTACTCGGACATGTTATCGAGTGATAGATAATGCTACCGTTAATGTTAGCTCTTGATTAACATTTCTTTACTGGGACATGTTATCGAGTGATGGATAATGCTACCGTTTATGTTGGTTCTTGATTAACATTTCTTTACCTGAGACATGTTATTGAGTGATGGATAATGCTACTGTTTTTGTTAGTTCTTGATTAACATTTCTTTACTGGGACATGTTATCGAGTGAGGGATAATGCTACTATCTATATTAGTTTTTATCTATATTTCTTTATTGGGACATGTTATCGAGTGATGGATAATGCTACCGTTTTTGTTAATTCTTGATTAACATTTCTTTACTGGGACATGTTATCGAGTGATGGATAATGCTACCGTTAATGTTAGTTCTTGATTAACATTTCTTTACTAGGACATGTTATCGAGTGATGGATAATGCTACCGTTTTTCTTGATTCTTGATTAACATTTCTTTATTGGGACATGTTATCGAGTGATGGATAATGCTACCGTTTTTGTTAGTTCTTGATTAACATTTCTTTATTGGGACATGTTATCGAGTGATGGATAATGCTACTATCTATGTTAGTTTTTATCTATATTTCTTTATTGGGACATGTTATCGAGTGATGGATAATGCTACCGTTTTTGTTAATTCTTGATTAACATTTCTTTACTGGGACATGTTATCGAGTGATGGATAATGCTACCGTTTATCTTAGTTCTTGATTAACATTTCATTATTGGGACATGTTATCGAGTGATGGATAATGCTATTGTTTTTGTTAGTTCTTGGATACATTTCTTACATTTCTATGGTCGTTATAATGGGCAAATATAACCTAACATTGGGTCGTATTTCGGCTGACTTGTTTCGAATTGTTGTTACGAATTGTTATATCTTTGTTTTTATACTAGATTTGTCTACGTACTACGTAATGTTCCGTCTACTTGATCAATACATAAGGCTCACAGCGGTCGTGACCAGTCAACAGCGGATGCTTACTTTTCCTAGGCACCTGATCCCACCTCTAGAATTTTCAGGGGTCCGTGTTCATGCCCTGTTCACAGATTTTTATTGTTTGAAGTTTTTATGAGATCGCTCAGTGTTCGTTATCTTCAACCTTTTTCATTTACTGGGACATGTTATTGTGTGATGGATAATGCTACTATTTATGTTAGTTTTGATTAAAATTTCTTTACTGGGACACGTTATCGAGCGATGGATGATGGATAGTTTTTAATTAACAATTTCTTTTCTAGTTAATTGCAAAATTATAGGATGCTATCTTTATTCTTGTTTCAGAAATCAAAAATTCCTAGAAAGAATCAGAAACTATATTGAATATCTTTGTTGAAGATCAATTAAAAAATACAAGTATTGGATTTTTCAGTTTTTAATTTGTAAAAACTTAATTTTCTCCTGAAAAATTCGAATTTATCAGACTTAGACGATAACAGGATTCTTTTTTTTTTTAAATCACCATACATTATTGTTAATAGAAATAATAATAGCAAAATTTAATACATTTAAGGTTCGATGGCCCAGTGGAAAGATGGGTAATTACAGATTTGGATACGATGGAAAATATGACATCGAAATTTGGTAGGTTGTTTCTGAAAACTTATTTCACAATATATATATATATATATATATATATATATATATATATATATATATATATATATATATATATATATATATATATATATATATATATATATATATATATATATGAACTAAGTTTTTATGGGCTATCCTTCTTATCATACACACTGTATGTGTAAATGTATATACCAAATAAACATTATAACTTAAAATTTTTAACATTATAAAGTCAAAAGCACTGGGTTTCTTAAGTGAAAATTTATCAAGAAATGTATAATGTTATTTAGTATGTGCCCTGTTGCTTCTATATATGAACTTTATATGCAAGTACCGTATTTTGTATTGTAGCGACCCATTCTCGCCCGACGTGATGAAAGCTGTTAGGGAACAACGAGGTGCATCAATGAAGTCTGATACAGAGCCCAGACTTACCTCTAATCATTTAAAAGGTTAATTTCTAAATATCAGTTCTCCCATGCAGATGTGATTAAGTATACAATATTTCCCCGGAGCACTACTGTTACCTGATAAACAGTTAGCTTGCCTTAGATCTATATGAATAAAGTTTTATGGATGTTATTATACATATGAAATTTGCAGGTTATTCTGAAATACAGAGTACACCACACAACACAACTGAACAGAGCGATTACATCATGCGGGAAGATAACGGAAATCTACCATCGAATCAAGGTCGAAGTACAGTGTTACGAGAGGCGACTGATACAGAGTCAACCCAACAATTGTATGAACCAATTATACAACGTGAGCAAGTAACGTATAATGATAGAACAAATGTTACCAACATACAGACAGAACACTACCCCATGGCTATTTCAGTGGAAGATCTTGAAACTGATGAAGGACATGGTATTGGTCTAGAAGGCAACTCAGTGGAACGTATATCTGAAAATTCTGAACATTTCAATAGGTCTCCAAGTCCAGACGAATATCACAATCCCCTCGAGCTCTCTGTAAATTCATCTGTGATTGTGAATAACTGTGTTTCTGGCAAATCTAGCACCAATGCCTCAACTGTACTGTCAAATAATAAAACTATTTATAAAAATCCTGAACTATGTGTAGCTGGAATAAATAAAGATACTGTTCAGATGGAAACACATACAGAAATGGAATCAAACGTTGCAATGATTTCGCAAAATCATACAACAAACCACTCTAAATTTAATCCAAATTTAACAACGCTGTGTCTATCCTGGCAGTGGCAGGACAACAATGGTGTTTGGGTAGACTATCCCGATCACTTGACCAATTTAATCAACTGCAGGCTTCGACAGCGCCCCATGACGACGGTCTTGATTACTTATAATGATAAAAGGTGAGTGTGTGCGATTGATCAAAGTACAGCAATGGGAAAAAGTATTTAAATAGTAACAACTGTGCAGTAATTGCTAGAAATAGCTTCACTTAAAGAAAGATATACATGTAGCATTATAAATGACATTTTATATGCAGTTTGTTTTGTTTTTATTCTCATACCTATTTTTTGCATTAGTTTTAGAATTGTAGCATCAAAGATGATACAGATCAACACAAAAACAAAAGAAAGGCACAACATTAGATGCATGAATACTTAATGCCATTGTTGATACTGCAGAAATAAATATAACTGGAATAAGACAAGAAATGTCACCAAAAACACATCAAATTATTCATAATTATTTGATGTCATTTGATAAGATTTTGTTTCAAATTATTTTTTTATAATTACATTAGTTGCAAATAAATTATATATTGAAAAATGTTCTGCAGAAATAGCATGATAAGAACAAAATTCAACATCAATCTAAACAAGCGGATTTTTTTAAATAATATTTTTATATCAACGCACGTATTTGATGATATAAGTAAATGGTATAAAATAATAAAAATCTTGATTTGAACCTTTTTCCGTTGCATTATGTCAATCCTTGAATTGAAAAAAAAATGTGATTACTTTGTAAAATACCAAATAAACTTTATGAGAAACATGAAGACTTCAGCTTTTTCTATTGTCGACATCCCTTATTTATTTCTAAATACATAACCATCACCAACATAAGGTTTTTAGGTCTCCCAGTTGATTCAATACGTAAGAGCATGTTCTTCGTAAGAACATTTTCTAAGCCAAAGATCACTATTGACAAATGAGTTGATGATCGATATTTCGTTTACAGTCTACATTTCTCAAATTGTACGATCAATACAATAACCTTGCTTGTAAACACAACCTGTCGTTAGGTCGAAGGATGACTGACATATTTAATACAAATTATTTTGGTCATTATTTTCATATTGATTAAGGATTACTGCAGTTTACACTTTCAAGATAAAAGACTCAGGGCAGTGTGATCAATCGACAGGAGATGCTCACTCCTCCATGGCACCTGATCCCACCTTTGAAGTTTTCAGATATCCGTGTTTGTTCTGCTCTCAATTTGTATTGTTTAATTGGACTCATGAGCATGATTACCGTTTATTATGTTCATTCCATTTGTAAACAGACATTTAGGCAAGAGTCATTCAGTCCTTAGTTTACATTTTTCAATTTATCTTCAATTTCAGAAGAAACAATTTTATTGAACTAGAAATATAGAACATAAAATTATTGTCGTAAAATTAATGGAATTCGTAAATTCACTTACCTTGTCATTGGTCATTTGCAACATTATGTTGTTGAAAACATTCTGATTGTACACACAAGTACTCTGACGTTGACATTAAAAAGATGCTTCCTAAAAGATGAGTTTCCGATTGACAATATCTACGTAGTTTTTGGAGACCAGATCTTAGAACAATCTGTTTGAGTTCCCATGGGTACCAATTACGCCCCGTTATTAGCAGACCTATTTTTGTGTTCATTTGAAGCTGAATTAATTCAAAATCTGAGAGGAAGAAAAAGAATTGCTGTGGCCTTAACATTTAGACATATTTATAATGTATCATTTAGACGACGTATTATCAATTAACAATAGTTACTTTCATTCATATGTCGATCCGATGTATCCCAGTGAGCTTGAAATAAAGGATTCCAGGATTTGTGTTGTTTAAATGGACTTTTGAGCTTGAATACCGTTCGTTATCTCCGTATTTATTGAAGGACATTACCCGACATTTTCATTAAGATACTCAATTAAGTGGAATAAAACAAAAAAAAGTTACGAAATTCAATACGTTGTATAAGGATATCCATAAATATCAGGATATATTAAAACTCAGTTATAGACAATCAATGACTGACATTGCATCGCTTTATCCGTACTATAATTATATCCAGTTAATGCAGTAAATCACCTTTACAACGAACATCTCTATTGCATATTCACCCAGCAATGAACTATTTCATTTACCCGTTCAAAGTCGGCCGCGTGGCGCAGTGGTTAGAGCGTCTGCTCTAGAGATCCTTCCTACTGATCCTTACGTCGCAGGTTCGAATCCCACTGCGGGACGTGGAGACTGGTCCTTCGGATGAGACCGTATAAACCGAGGTCACGTGTCGCAATAGGTTCTGGCGCGAAAAAGATCCCTCACTGCTTAACGGCCCTGAGTGCCGAGTATAGGTCAAAATCTGTAGCCCCTCCACCGGCAAGTGGTGGCGTCTCCATATAAGTGAAAAATTCTCGAGAGGGACGTTAAACAACAAACAAACAAAAACCCAGTTCCAAATATTAAGTAAGAAAATTTATCTGGATATAATGATTTTCGGATATAACGAATTTCAGCCATCCCTGGAGAAATGCTTTCACGCAGTTTTACAGTTTTTGCCAAATATCAAGGCATGCTAATTTTCTCATTTCCGATCGTAAAAAATTTTGCTTTTCACTAAATATGGCTTTGACCATTTAGAATCATCAAATCATTCTTAATTTTCTGGCTTCAGGATTTGGGTAATAAAAAGTTAAATTCTTGCTCATCAGCATCAATGACCTTAGCCTTTACAATATTCTTTAGAATCTCACTTCCTATACAGCTATGACAAGAAATCTAACAAAGTTATATTGGACACCATATCAATAACCTTGACCTTTTGTCATTGACCTTCATCAAGCAACACTAAAATCTAAACGTGCCTTGTAATTCCAGAAAGCTTTATCAGACTGATGAGAAATAAAACTGCCAAAAAAAAGGAAGAAGATATTTTCAATAGAAACTTTATTATGCACATCCATACCGTAGTTTATCTTTAATCAAAAACTGGGTAAAGGACAGATTTTATACAGAACTCGTAAAAATTTGCTAGCCCTAAATATGAGTAATATTGTTATCATAATACGCTATAATTTTTTTTCTTCAAAATTTATACATGAAATATCTGAGAAGATCAACATTTTAATTCTCGCATAACACTTAGTTCACAGAGTTTTCATTAAGTCCTCCCTTTTCAAAAATAAATGTGAAATATTTTGTTTGAAATTTACGTACTATTATAATTATTACACTGTAAATAAATTTTACTTAAACAAAAATTCAAACACCATCAAGGCCTTATATCCCTCTGTTCTAAATTTCATTTAAAAAAAAATTCCCAGCCTTGATTTTTATCAGCAACAAAAGCATTAGATTCAAATGGAATAAGGTTTGAGGTATGAAGCGAGGCTTACTTATTCCAAAATTAAATTTATGTTTAATTAATACATAACTGCAGCAAATAATGTCAAAAAAGAACACTTACAGAAGTTTAAATGAATTCTAGAGAGATTGAAGTACATTTCTACTGACATTATACAGTGGTGGAAACTGAAACGCAACATAATTTTTCTGTTTACCATGTCTCCACGTGCTAGTCACTTCCTCGTGAATAAATTACCTTATCTCGCTGTAGTCTCGCCAGAGGTACTGCGAACTCCTCGGGTATTATAATTTGCAGAAGGCGTGAGTATTGTCAGCCCGTGCTCACTGAACAGGTGAAGTGTGCAGGGTAAACAAATTGAACACATCCGTTAAAACGTAAAAATTGACAAAAGACAGAGCCCGTGCTCTTGTTTATAAACTCAGGTGTTTGACACGATGCTATGAAAAATGTTTTTGTCATTGAATATTTTAAGATTTTTCAATCAAGTTCAATTCATTAAACTGAGTTTATTTTTTGGAATTAAATATAGAAATTGAAAAATGTAAACGAATCGCCAATGCAATTAAGTCCAGGCCCCCACATGTGAGTTAAGGCTAGGTATAGGCGTTTCTATGCAAATGAGCTAATAAAAACGCATAAGAGGTATATTTATTATTCAGAGAAAGTTTTGATTTATTTTCTTATGCATACTTAGTACCCACGATATGTTATAGGCAGTACGAATTATGACGTCACTGTTCTTACCTACTGGAGGTTATAGAACATATCAACAAAACAGGGATTACCCTATTTATATTTACATAAAAATTGTATAATACTAAGAAGAATATTCTATAGATTAATAAAACTGCTGCACAAATCCTAGGCATTTTCTCATTTGATCGGAATTTGAGGAAATTTATAACGTACTGTACATTTTTACCCTGATTCAACTTAGAGCCAGTCTGCGAGAAAACCATGCAAAATTCAAAAATCGTCCAAATGGAAGGTTGCAACATAGGATTTTTTAGTGGCTTAAAATTTTCTGCATAAAAGTAGAAGTCAGAATATCTACAAAAAAATGTTGAACCTCGCATCTATTTTTAGTAACATCTCATTTGCATATTTGTCATAAATCACACTAAATTATACGGAAAAACATGCAAACTTTTTAATTCAAAAAGTGACCTTCTGCCATCAGTTTATTTTCAAATTTTGTTTTCTTTTCAAAATCATGGTCTTATTTATACAATTAATGAAGAAAAACGTAATTCAAATGAATGTTTTATTTTTTAAAGGTCTATTTATAGATTCTAAATCAATGGGTATGATTTTTTTTAGCCATTTTTATATGCTATTTTCTCTCAAGACCAAGTAAAAAATTAAATTAAAATAAGTTAATCTTTAGAATAGTCTTAGGTCTACTAGGTAGTAAAATATTGAGCTTGGGAAATAATATCTACATGTTGATAATCAACTTTGAAATACCATACTTAGCTCCAATTTCATATATTTTAAATAACAGTCTATTATCATATTTATAGACTATTTCTTAAATATCTAAATGAAAAAAAAAGATTCTAAGTCTATTATATTTTTAAAAATAGGAATAACTAATTTAGGTACTTCATATAAATTTCTAATGCTCATTTTAGACCCCTACAACCAATTTCCTGAAGTTAAATTGTTATTTCCCCTTGTTGGAACTCTTCAGTATTATTGGGTAAAAATCACAGTCCTGTATATCAACATGGAATATAGAAGGTCATGTATGATCATTTTATATGAAAACTAGTGAGTTGTGGAGCATCATTACACTATGGAAGTGGAAAAACTCATTTTTAAGATCTTTGAATGTAGAAAAAAACCAACAATCCAGCTTGAACAAGCAAACAACCCCTGCGCTAAGGCCTTTTATGTTGTATCGCTGTGTAGAAATGGAAATTGTGATAAACTGTACTTGTTAAAACCTTTATTATATGCTTTAAAACTTCGTGATGACGTTTTGTTTACTGGAGTGACAAGCAAACATTGTGCATGTATCATTGTATCGGATAGAGGGCTCATCCTAAAACAAGCAAGGACAAAGCAAGTATCATGTACAATATTCCGCTTGTGCAAAGAACAAATGATTGCAGCCAAAACATATTCCATTCTGCAGTACAAACTGGTAAGAATTACAAACGGGCATGAATGTTAGATCTATAAACATGATAAAGGATTGATAATTTCATTCAAATGGGAAGGGGGTGCTGTCGAATTTTGTCATGGCATTTATTTTATTATTTTTATAATATTATTAATAAAATTGTTTTGTGCTTTGTAATTTATTTGATACTTTGTCTGAATAACCATAATAGTAACAATAATACCCTTGCAGACAGAGTTTAATTTTGGAGATGATTGGAAATTTTTTTTTGTATATATGTACTCACTGAAAACGGCGGGGGGGGGGGGGGATTCAAGGTCAGATTAACTTCTTTCCAGTGGAGGAGAGATAATTCATTTTCAAGTTCAGGTTCTATATACATGTGTATCTACCCAGTAGTTTTACCCCACCCATGCACCCACCTCCATGCAAATGAAATTGAAATAGTTGTTCCCGAAGAAAATGCATGTTATAATAAATAATTTACAATGGTTTATTGTTTATCAGGACGGTTATACCAGTTTCAAACTAAATAAAAAAAAGTAAGATATGTATATGGATTGATACTGAGAAATTTATTAGCTGTGCATACACCCAAATATGTAAAGGTACTCGCATAGGGTCATAAACATAATTTTGGTAAAACTTTTCATTACCTATAAAATATACACATTTTGTATGTCTATTACCAGTCACAATGTAGTGCAGCATGTGTAGATGCAGTTTATCTAAGGAATTTATAATGACCATGTAATTTTATTGAAATAATTTTGCTTACAGGTCTGTACACACATTCCTTTTCACAAGACTAGAATACTGTAACATGTATGGTATTCAATGATCTGATATATATGCCTATTTAAACAAAGCACTAAAATTATTTAATATACAAATAAAATTTTTAAGCGGATGTTGAAAATATTGGTATCAGGCGCGGATCCAGGAATTGAAGTTGGGGGGGGGGGGCAGGAAGTAGATAGGGAGTCTAGGGGCTGCCTTGAGGACCCCGGTGGGCTCAGGGCGAAGCCTTGGTGGGGGCCCAGGGGGAGAAGCTATTGATTTTGTAGGGTAAAAATGAGGTCTACCAAGTAGACATTTTACATTTTCTCGACGAAACTATGACTTACGCTAACTTTGACAATTTTAGGGATGGCGTGGCGCCGGGTGCGCCCCACTTAAATCCGCCACTGGGTATGTTGAAATTACTGGCTAACACAATTGATAACACAGTTAAATATTTGGAGTCTAAAACTGGAATGGGGGGGGTCATTGTTGTTAGTGGTATGAAGAGTCCCTTAAAATGTAAATTTTGGAATATGCAACAACTAAACACCTCAGAGCCGAATCCCCGCAAACTATTTTATTTTCCTCAACCTACAAAATATACAAAATTACAAATACGAATGAACATTTTATCATGAATTCATTCCATTTCTAAACAGTTGGCAAAATGCTAATCCTCATATATGGGGGATTTTTGAAATTTTTATTTAATTTTCAATTTTATAATTTTTTAAATTTTAATTATGGTTATAAAGAAAATGGTAACATTTTTTTCTTATATAACAACAAGTATTTATAATTTAAAGTTCTATATCTGTCTTTGTAACCCATTGGAATTTGAAGAATTTTTGGGAAAATTGGCAATTTGTAAATCTCAATATCTCAATAAATTATAAAATCCCAAGCTTAATATTTTGCAAAGATAATATTTAGAGTTATATTTTGACAATAAGATCAACAATTTTAATTTTGTAGCTAGGTCTTGGAAGATTTTAGCCATTCAAAATGTAATAATTTTGTCAATTCTTCAAAATTGGCATTGTTCCAATTTTTAAGAGTTGTCTACCCTTTGATATGTTGGGTATTTGGTTATGATAAATGTCAGTTTTAGAAGAACATAGTCATATGTTACTCTAAAATACCTTAAAGGAAATGCAAATTTAATTTTGAGTAAAATAAATCAAATGTAATTTTTACCATTTTGCTTTAATTATTTAAGTGCATTTGCACTTAAATGTGCAAAAAGAAGGTGGCGCTTCCTACGGCTGCCATGTTGGATGATGAGGAAAATTTTTCGCTTTTTTGAATTACATGTTATGAAGTCTAACTACCCACCAAATTTCATCAAGATATGACAACCTTCGATTTGGACAGTTTTGCATGGTTTTCTCGCGGACTGGCTCTTAAATCTTTACAAATAGAATTTATACAACTGAGCTGTTGATATTTGTGCAGCAATACCAGCAATCTTTGGAATATTTTGCTCCTAAATATACCTTGTTTCAGTTAAATAAAATAGAGTATGCCCTTGCGCCGAAGCGTTTTTGTTGATGTCCATTATAATTTAATTTTGTTTGTATTCTTGCCTCTGATTGGTTAATATCCAAAAAGGAACACAAATTATTTCTGTATAACCTGGTTTGGTATGGGGACGCACCCCCCTGACAACCAGCTGAATCGTCTGTATCCATGCAATCCTCTCATTTCCAGTCCTCGGGATTCATGGAAAATTCCAGATTTAATAAATGTACCTTTAACTTCAAACAGTAACTTGGATCTTACCACATGTAAACAAACAACATGGCTGCTAGGACTATGTATCAGTTTTTACCTCCCCTTGCTACCCATCACTTCCGTTACTAGGGTTGTATTACTGAGCGGCAAATTTGAACTAATAAAAAGCAACGAAATTTTACACCCACAGTTGTTTAATGATTTTAGAATTAAATTATAAGGAATGACTCTAATTCTTGGCCAAATTATTCGAGTATAACCTGGTTTGGGTCAGTTTACGCTGTTTTATGATCCGCTTCGCGGATTATAAAGCGTAAACTGACCCAAACCAGGTTATACTCGAATAATTTGGCCAAGAATTAGAGTCATTCCTAAAATAATCTTGTGTAGTAAAGAACAATGACGTCATAATATGACGTCATAATGTGTACTGACTATCTCATGTCGTGGGTACCAAATATGTATCAGACAATAAGTTTTAACTTTCTCTGTATAATAGATATAGTCTTTAGGCATTTTAATTAGTTTATTTACATAGAAATGCCTGTACCTAGCCTTAACTCACCTGCGGGCCTTTAATCATTCTTTTTTGCCTCCGTAATTGAAGATTCGGGTGTATATAGTTTTTGTAATGTCAGTCCGTCCGTCAGTTTATCCGCAAAA